ATCAAAATTCCTCAAGACTCCGGGGTCGTAAACTTTGAGTCAAAATTCTTTGAAGATTCAAAAATTCAAAGTTAAGAAACTCTCCAAACTTGTCACTATTCTTTAATGAATGCGCCCAGTCAGAGGTAGAAGTCTAATTAGAACATCTTTTGTCATAGCTGAATTATAGTGTTCCCAGAAATTATTGAGATTTTTTTCATGAATTTTTTTTTTTTTTTTTTTTTTTTTTTTTTTTTTTTTTTTTTTTTTCAAAATCAGTTTTTTATCAAATGACAATACTTGCTACTTTCTTATTTTATTTGCAGTTTTCATGAATATACAGTTTCCTTTGTATACTTTCGATCGTTTGCTTATGTTCAAAATGGGTGCTTTTGAAAAAAGAAAACCTAGTGTAGATATTTATTATTAAATAATTGCAAAACTAGCGATACTTCTGAAACACTGAGTATTCCACTGTCAACTATTGATTCACTTGGGACAAAATATTGGAAAATGGAAAGGAAGAGGGAGAGAGTTGGTAGGGCTAGGAATGAAACCCCATTTTAACCCTTAGTGTTGTTTTACCGAGCGAATTTCTAAGCCTTCTTTGATATGTAATGTTAGTTTACTAGGCCTACAAACACTTTTCCTTAACTGAATTCCTCTTCTTTTTCATATTTTGCTCCACACAATACAAAGTAGACAGTGAAATACTTGGTGTTTCAGAAATATCACCAGATTTAACAATGCCTTACTAATACATAGCTTATATAGGCTTTCTTTTTTTGATAGCTGTAATATTGAACAGTCAACAGGAAGCATATAAAATAAATGGGAGGCTATCTATGAAAACTGAATGTATCTTTAGAAAGTAGGTGGTATTGTCATTAAGCTAAACAGTAAAGTTAAATTATATTTTATGTTATTAATAAATTTTTTTAGATAAATGTATCATAAATATTCTCAATAATCTCTGGGAACACTATAAATCCTAAGGCACACGTACATGTATTTCACAAATATATTATTCCCATATACTGACATATATGAAATATAATAGAGGTAACTTTAAAAAAGTTAAATAATAAAAAGAACCCGTTATTATTTATTAAGTAAATAAGATTGAAACTTCACGGGACAATGAAGTGGTTTGATCACATTTTAAACCTTATGGTATTTTAAAAAAAGATGTTGGTGTTAATATATTCTTAACAACTATAGAAGAATCACAGGTATTAGAAACTGGATTAAAAAATATGAAAGGTCATTCATTAAAGATTTTGTTTCATCTTGATTCATGTATTTGGAGTTCTTCAAGACATTTTGACTTGATTACTCCGTTTACCTTATTAATACAGAGGGCTAAAGGCGGATGTAACTGGTCGACAGGGGATGCTTACTCCTCCAAGGCACCTGATCCCACCTCTGGAATTCCCTGGGATCCGTTTTTGTCCGGTTCACGATTCATATTCTTCGCTGTATTTATGAATTTGTCACTATTTGTTATTTTAATTTTTTCATGTCGTAGATCCAGACTCCGTAAACATTTTTGGCCGGAAATGGCACTCAGGTGACACAATACATACGTTTTTAGGAAATAAGAAGATCATAGTTAGCAAATCAAAACGATGTACCATGTTTTGACCATTTGGGGGTGAATATGGGGGGGTCTTAGTAATAATTCCAATTCACAGTGTAAAATAATATTTTTTTGTGTTCCTGCATGAAGCACTAATGTTTTCATCTAGATTGTACTTGAAATCAATAGGAATATATTTTTTTAAACACTGTCAACTCTGAATATTATAGCGCGGGCTTAAAATTGGAAGATATTTCTAAGTTAACATTATTTACATTACTCCTTTCTGCATGTCATTAATAAACACTGTTGCTGTGTCTAGATTTTTCAAATTAGTATGCTTTGCCCGGTAGTCAAAGACCAGGTGCCAATATTGTCATTATTGTATTGTAGAAGTTTGAAGGCACTTATGTAATCAGTTAATCGGGTACTCATTGACACTCGGTGTATTTGAGTGTAAGAATTGTTATTTATTTAGAAAATTGAATTATTTCAAAATAAAACAAAAATAAATATTAGATAGATCTGGTTTCCACTCCTGTAAGCGTGATTCTTGCAAACGTCAGATTTATCTCCGAGTTATATAATAATGACGGGGATCTTTTGTATCAATAGGTATATGTTTTATCTGCTGTCAGGGGGGATGGGTTTTTTCTTACAAAGGTCGATGGGACTCGTTTGTCAATCTATTTACTCCTGTCAGACTAAAGAGAGATCGACGGATTGCAATTTCTCCCTTAAAAGTCGGCCGTTTATATTTTTTTCTCTGTTGCTGAATTTTTTGCGATTAAACTTCGTCAACTTCACTCAATACTATCAGCGAAACAATCAATAAGATCTAATATATTAGACAACAAATTGAATTGGGGTCGGACTTAGCAGAGGGATGGGGACAGATGCCATCTTTCTGATTGAAGTTATAAGCTTCAGACAGCATAATATGCTTAGCGGTCCCCAGCAAGGCAGAGTGATTACCCCCATTTTTTGTCCGGAAGGCCGATAGATTTCGTGTTCGCTTTGTTATCGCGAAGTAATCTAAAATTGCTTTGCATTGTGTGTCATATACTATAGCACCTTCTTGACAGAATATTGTGGGAGAAAATCAACATCAAATGAGCAGTTCATGAAAATGAGTCATAATATCAAAGATACGACTTGTTAGATCCATTGTTGATTAAACCTCCGCTGGTTTTTTGTGATCAGAATGGTCGCTGTTTGGTTTGTTTGAAGACTGAAGCTTTTCATTTCTGAGATTAAACATTCCTATTAAAATTGTTTTGGATAGATGTATAGAAATACTTTTTTGTCGAAGTTTCTGAATTTTCTATTCATTTAAGAAGAAAAAGTTATGATTTTCCATTTAAAGGGACTTATTTAATCATTTAGGTTTCTAGAAAAAAATAATTGTTTTTAACTTGGGAGATGGGATCATGTATTAAGTGTACACTGTCGTTTGTTCCATACTGGGGTCCTGATTTAGCGCATATTCATAAACACTACATTATTTTCATTTCTTACGTATAGTTTATAATGCATATAATGCAAAAAAAATTCTATATTGCTCCAGTCCATAATTTACAACTGGACTTAATTAAGAATAAACTAGTCTAACGACACTATATGCGGGCACATTCACAGGTCTATCGACAAATTAAAGTCATACTTTATTTAGAGTATCAGAAAAATCTCGGACGTTTAAAAAAGTAAATGATAAGAATATATTGTCAATACAAGACATAAATGCAAAATTAAATTTTCTGGACGTAAAAAGAAATTGTTCAGTCACTATATGAATGTTTATTCTCCCATTATCGGCTGTGTTTCGTCACTTCAATAGTTCTCTTACTAATCGGCTCCAGAGATCAGATGATTCCATGTGAGACATCCGGACAATGCACGTAAGGTAGCTGGTCCATATTGTGTACACGTGATTTAGCTTCACGATTTAATGAAATATCAAACAACTATTGAATTAATAAAATATCAAACACGTAATGAATAAACAAAATATTGAACGCCATGTTGCATCATACTTTTAAATAGACATAAGCGGCCTTAGCATTTGACGCTGAAGAAAGACAAAAGCTGAGAAAAAATTGATAATGTTTATCAAAATATAATTTCATGATGAAAAGAACAGAAATGTAGCTCAGAAATGATATAATTATTTACTTTTCACTTAAGTATAAACAAATTTATTAAAGACGTAAGCGATAGGCATACAGATAGTTTAGGTATTTCACAAATGATTAATAAAAAGGAACGTTTCCATATTTTTTTTCTGTTCTTATTTTAGAATTGATTTTTTTTTTTTAAAAATCAAAAGAAATGCCCTAACTATCCTTACTGTCAGAATAATTTACCTGAATTTTTAGACCTTTAGTACACATTAGGTACCTCCGATAATTAAGCACATGTTGACAAATAATCATATAAGATGCCAATTTTATATCTTTCCTAGCATCTGGCAGATACATGTAATTCACATGCAATGATACAGCTGGTATATTTTTCTTAAGTAAATAATACTAAAAATTACTTAGCTTGAAAAGGTGTTCATATTATTTATTACAACATTAGCCATAAAACTACATTAATTCTGTAATTCGGCAAATACTGTAAACCTGCAATTCATTCTCAGTAAACCGACCACCCCTCTAGTCTTGCCATTTTATTCAGTTCGGCAGCTGGCCGGCTTAGAGAAGTTTTGATATTTAACAAAGTAATTTTGTTGATGACCAATCACAAGATACGAAAATTTCCGAGTTCCATATTTAACGAAGCAGTTGTCCATGATATCAAAAAGCTTAGTTTTTAATTTATCGTGAGAAATCGTTGTATAAAAAAAGAAAAGTCGTATGTTTTGATGTTACTGACTTTTGAAAAATTTGTCAAAAATTATTTTTGCTTGATAGTGCCCCGAAATGTTTGATTGCCCCCCCCCCCCCGAAACAGCTTCCCACGGACCTGCATTAACGATCCCCTTATTGTAGCCGTTAAGTAGGAAGGGTGGTCAACAAATTACAGAACCACGTAAAAATATGAAACTTGATTTTTCTGGCCATAAACTATCATTTAGTAAAGTATAAACCACATGTTCCCACTATAATATTTAATGCAATTTCATATATTTTTTACAGAGTTCTTCTTTTCCGGGAGGTTCAAATGGTCGAATCTCCGACATCGGAGACTGACCATGATGTTCCGACATCGGACACTGACCATGATATGCAGCGATGACATCAACGGTCTACATTTACAAGACTCGGACTAACACAGTTGGGGTAGGTGTTTACCAAGTTAAAAACATGAAAATATGGTCTATTTACTTTTCATTCTATTCGAATGTCACATTCTTTATAGGTGTGACGTTCTACTCAGGTGTGACATTTTGTTCGGACAAAATTCGTCAACATAAAGAAGAAAGTGCAAGACAATAACATAAGCATGGAATATGAATACAATTTTATATAATAAATTTCAACTTAATCATACAATTTAAAAAGTAATTTTCCTTGTGAAATGGCAAACTCTGTAAAGAGTGTACTTTTATTTTTATATAACTCGTGAGTTTGACATATACATTGTACATCTCTAGCTAACGTCGGTATTGAGGTGTTAAATACTTTTATACTACTTCTAGTTTTTGACATGGACTGCACATCTGTCAGATTTCTTGAGGTAATATATAACAATATTCTTTGATACATTTTAAACACAATATATATTTTAATCTCACAAAAATCTGTCAGATCTGTGATAAATTTAAAGTAAAATGAACTCTTTTCCGCTTTAACGACGATTTTTTCAACACTTCTGAGCCGATTGACGCTGTATGAGATTTCTGAGCCTCCATTGACTTACACCTTGGTGCCCCCGTCCTTCTGAGTGACGTTTGTGAGGATCACGGAGTTACCGGGTAAGTCGCTGAGGATTACTGTCTCATGAGGTAACTCGTTATATTCCTCTAAATCTCCGCTAGATTGAGACTTGCTACAGAAACAATAATCACGAAATCTCGGGTCGAATGAGAAAAACACGAGGGGATTTAGGGCAGCGTTACAAAACATGAGACACACCCCAGTCAGTTTTACAACGTGCCATATGAAATCATAAGGTGAAGGATCAAAGTAAAACCACATTAAGTATACGTGTCGGGGCAGCCATGTCACAACAAAAACCAGAACGAGGCCAAAAACTAGAACTACCATGCGTTTTCTTCTGGAATTTCTACTCATCGCCTCCTCGACCTCAGCATGGTTCTCGCCATAGTAACACGAATCATACCGTGAACATTTTGAACTCAGCTTGTATCCAATCAAAAAATAAAATGAAGTAATGATGAACATGGGTATGGCGAAAGTAAATGCAAACTTAATGAGAGTCAGAGTTTTGGCGTACGTCTCTCCCCAAGCTGCCTTATAAGGCTGACAGAAGTGGAAGTTCTTGTGGGATACAGTCTCCGCTGAGACTAGGTCAGTAATGGCCAACATGGCAGCCACTAGCCACAGAAAGAAAGAAATCACAGACGCTGACGGGAGGTTTGAAGACGTTTGATATACCGTGGTCACTCTATATCTCTCTATGCTTAAAGCTGTGATCATGAAAACGGTGATGGATGTAGTCAGCGTATGAATACATTCACTGAGTTTGCAAACTGGCTCACCAAACGGCCAGTTGGTCAATACATAGATGGAGGACAAGAATGGCATGGCTATTACCAAAGTTAGAAGGTCAGCTATTGCCAAATTAGTTGAATAGATATTATGTGGTGACGTCATTCGATTACGGCATATGACGTAACTCAGGAGGGCAATATTACCCAGCATTCCCACAACAAATATGGCGGAGAAGATACAAATGATAACAAGTGTCTCGGAACTTAAGACAAATAGATCCATTTTCGCAAAATCAAAGGAGCCATTCCCGGGAGAGCTGTCCTGCATGATATCTGTAGAAAGATTCATACTGAAATTGCTTTGCAAAGAGATGAAAACGAAATATAATTTTTCCAAATTATCTTCAGTATCATTAAGTCCCAGAAGATCAGAAATTTGCTTTTTTCTGCTAACTTAATAATCAAAAGTCTGCAATGATCTCCAAGCACGCACTAACATCGCCACACAAAAAACACAGTCCTCCGGGTTTTTCAACTGTTCTCAAAGAATCACTGGCGAGGATCAATAGTCTTTTAATGTCAGAAATTTCCTCAACTGAAAAACTCTAAATTGTCTACAGTCAGCCATTCCTTCCTCTAAAATGATAATAATAAAGTTTTAAGCACGGGTTACTTAGTTTACCCTTGGGCGTTCTGACGTACGGTTTATTTTGATTACATGAAAGTGACGTGTCGGTTGTTTTATATATTTTTTATCATATGAACTTCAGAAGTATAACATAGCTCGCTGTATACAGCGTTCTTTCCTAACAATTTGGCGATGAAAGACGAGAGTTGTATACATATATCATGATAAATAATCATAGCCGATACATAGCCCCCAGTAGCGATTATCAATGGCAATCTCTCATGTTCTAAACTTTTATACATTCATCAAATCTTATCTTGGTTTCCGAGCGTCTGATGCGTCTTTTAGTTAGACCCTCGTTCTCATGGTATCACGAGCGGTAGAGGCGTTAATCTATCTGGCTTATTTCTTCACGTGAAATCTGTTTTATATACACGGATAATCAGTTTATAAAAAAGCTTACACGCCCAGCAGAAGTGCTTTCTAATAATTCTCCCATTTAACAAACCTGCTGCTTTGAAATATTTTCATTTATTTGAGAATTTGTCTTGAACTTAAATGATGGACAATCTGATATTAATCAATAAAAATCTTCATATCAAACTCAGAGTTTGTCTGAATCAATACAGTGTACTTTCAAATTTCTCTTAAAAGATGAATAAAAATAATAATGTAATGAAACTATGTAAAGACTGCGTTCAAATTCGGAGAATTTAATTTTTAATTCAACTTCTGAGAGGTTGTTTATAAAACCAAATTGTAGAGCAATCATATATCTTCTTAAATTTTTTGCATGAAAAAGAATTCGTGAATTTAAAACTGATGTTTTTTAAAACTGATTCTTAGCTTAGAAAAGTTATAAAACTATTAATCAAATGAGCTGGCTTTCTGATCTGATAAAATTCAATGGAGCGTGGCAGAGTTCCGTAATACTAGAACACAGATCTCCAGGATTTATATTGATCTGATGACGACATCAATCAAACGGTATTCACGATTCGGGTTTATTGGTTCCGCCTGACGTGCGGCTTTTTCTCGTTTTTCATAATTTCCTCTCAATATTTCGCCAACAGTAGAAGTTTAAGATGAAGGGGCTTTTTGCTGCCCCAGCGGGACGGGTCATATAAGCCAATTAATGGAAAATGAAATCACAAGATTTATGACATTTCGTTTACATCTGCCATCATTTAAAATATTATGACATTACCATGGTATTAGAAAACACTGGCGTAACATCAGTGAAGTGAGACGACATTTGATGTACTCTAAGTAATTGTGGGGAAATTTTACGATGTGTTGTCATTACGGACTTTTAATATTTTATAAATGTATTAAAATATTTTAGCCATGGTCTTGATATTTATTGTTACCTGAAATTAATAATGGGGGTGCACGAGTACGCAAGTTAATCAAGTTGACAACACACTAGAGAACGAAAAGGCGTATAATAAATGACATATAGTCAGGCGTTAAAAAAAAGTATCACACACCATGCCAGATGAAAGCCTGTTACATATTTAATATAAATGTTAGGATTATGGAGAGATATAAGAGTACATGTTTGATTTAATGAAAATATTTATTAAAAAATAAAGAAAAATAAAGAATTAAAAAAATGAAAAATTGTAAAAGTATTTAATTAACTGTAGAAAGTTATTGCATATTTTTGAACTAACTCGTCATACTTTTGACAAACAGATCATTTCTGCATCAAGATCAAGGAATCGTAGGGTACATGTGTACTATACTAGGTTGCTACTTATATGTTTGTGATGATAAATATCATAAAATAATAAGGTTTGATCTACAAAATCTTCTAAGATCCTACTATTTATTTTTTTTACACTATAGGTTGTAGTGAATTGACCTAGTAAGTTAAGGAACCAATTTCAAGTTTCATATTGCCGAGTGTTAATAACTAAAGAAAATGGAACTCGGCTTTAAGAACGTGATAAGATACGCGAGGCTTTCCGCGCCACATCAAGCCGAAGTCAAAGTACGAATCTCTGACCGTCATCCATGGCAATACCTTGGCCAGAATTTCATCTGTACATGTACTTTTACACTGGTATTTTTAAATATATTTGTTGAATAAAATCTTATGCAATTTTTTGTATTAAGAAAATGAATGTAAAGCTCAAATGCGAGACCAATGTGATTCTATTTATGCTTTTCTTTTCTTTTAATGATTTGACTAAGTCAGGTGGTTCAGTGTCCTAGTAACTGATAAGCTCTCTTACATCATTTACTTATGTGACACTTAAAGGGTATACATGTCAACTAACTTTATAAAATAGATTAATTTTTTTGTACAAACAGTACAGTTTTGAATATACAGATGTTTTCCTGATTTCCTAAAATAAGATGATTAAATAGACCTTGCAGATTTCGGTGTGATAGAAAAAAAAAGATTTGAGCTTAATTCTCAACAATAAACAAACAGATTTGTAACGCAATAGAGATAATGTTTGGATTTGTAAGCTCAGTATGATACCGAATCCGATTCACTTAGCACTAAGCTTCTTTTGAAAACACTTTTTTTATTGTCATCTTTTAAAATAAAAAAAATCTCGTAGGTAAATAACAAAATTACTTTTCATAAGTAACCCTTTCCATCCAATTACATAACAAATACTGCACAGAGGAAGAGATTCATGAGAAACAGAATAGCTTCTGCTGTACATACAATGTAATGTATATGATTTTTTAAACATTTCAAACACCAGAAGAAGTACTTCTTACATGGTATCTAAAACAAGTATTCAGTTTGTTCTTATTCTTTTCTTAACACCCCCTTCTCAAATCTAAAGACATTCCTGGAACATTATTGTATATTAATCCATTTGCATTTTTATGCTTCCGTAATCAAAGATTAGGAGGTATATAGTTTTTTGCCCTGTCTGTCCGTCTGTCTGTCCGTCTGTCTTACTGTCTAGCTGTTTGTCTGTCTGTCTGTTTGTCCGCAAATACTTTCACCTTGGACATAACTTTTGAACGGTTGTTGCCAGAGCTTTCATAATTTCACATGTGTATTTCTTGTGACAAGATTTTCCCTTGGACACCCCGTGTGCACATTAATGTTTACCTTTGCCTTGACCTTGAAGTTTGACCTAATTTGAAAAACTTTAACCTTGGCCAGGACCTTTGAATAGTTGATGCTAGGGCTTTAATCTTTCACAGGTGTATTCCTTGTGACAAGACCTTCCTTTGGGTACCAATATTTTTTTATCTCTTGACCTTGGAGCTTGATGTACATTTGAAAAACTTTAACCCTCGCCACGGGATGCCATACGGGGGCATCAGTGTTTCACAAACACATCTTGTTCTTTTTACTTTTCCGTGGCATATATTTGGGTCAGTACACACCTTCCTTGTAAGATGTATAAAGGGACCAGGTTTGAAAATTCTTGACTCTTAACGGGGCAAGATTTGATAACGTTTAGTCATAAAATTCCAAAATGAGGCCACCATGAACCTTTCTTGGGTTGCAAACCATCTCAACCCACCCCACTGTATTTTTAAAGCGTCACCATGTGTACGATATGACCCAGACACATTTTAACTATGTATAGCTATTTAGTTCTAAATACAGATGACAATAACCAACGTTTGGTTATCCTAGACCTAAAAGCAATTGTAATCGGGACATAATTTGATTATTCAAAGCCATAAAATAAAAACAAAAAATAAGGTCTCGTGGTGCAGTGGGTAAAGCGAAGGTGTCACTGATCGAATCCCACTGTGGAATTTGGAGTCCAACACTCCAGATGAGACCTTATAAACCGAGATTTCGTGTCAAAGCAGATATATACTAGCTATATACCAGCAAGGAAAAGTTCCGTATTTTAATCTAGAGCATCCTTCCATTGGTAATATTTTGTGTTGGAGGGACGTTAAACAGCCAATAAACAAAATATGGTCATGGTGACCTACTTTTGAGATGCGATTCGCCTTCCCCAAAAGGGTGTGACAAATATGAATGATGGTACTATAGGCCTCACACTGTGGAAGATATGAACATTACACGAATAAGCTAACAAACTATCAGACAGATATCGGACGGGAAAGCTCATACCACAATACGGACCGTCAAAAGACAGGTGTGAAATCGCAGCAGTTCAATAGGAAGTACCTGACTTATAATACATGCGGTTCACGAGTGACATCTTTTTTTTTTATTCGGTTGTTAGAACTCAGTGTGGCAATAGCGATGTTTTATTTATTTATGACTTATGTGTTACAATTATTGTGTCTGTATTACTCTAGAAAAATCCCGACAGAATACACAGAAGTCCAACTGAACTGCGATAATTTGTGGGGAGTTATTAACATGACTGAGACCAATGTGAGAAATTATCAAAACATTGTAATTAGTGCATTTCCCGAGAGTTTTCGCCTATCTTTTTTATCTTATAAATATTCAATAAAAATAAACTTTCCATCATTTTTTCATTATTTTCTTGCTCGCCTCTGGTGATTACTTGATGAGGAATTTTATTCTACAGGGACAGTGTCGTCCCATAATGCCTTATCTTAATTCTCCGAGATGCAAAACAAACATTTCCGCCCCACGAGAAAATGTGCCCCTACATTGCATGATTTTGTTAATTGGCATTAAACTCTGTGTAAATTAACACTGAATGGTCGACACTTGGGTAGACACGTCTCAATGTGAGATAAAACTCACGCTACTTAAAATGTGATAGAGCTATTGTCTGATGTAATATTATTGTTATGATAAAGACATTACGGCCCAACACCTTCGAATGTTAATGCTAAATACAGCTATCCGATTAACACCTTAATTATGAAATTATTGATAAAAATGGCTTCCTTGAATGAAATGAAAAATACACGAAATATAAACAAAACATTCAGATAAACTATTACAGAGGAGCATGCTTTATAATCTTACTACACGGGGTTGTTTTATAATCTTACTACACGGGGTTGTTTTATAATCTTACTACACGGGGTTGCTTTATAATCTAACTACACGGGGTTGTTTTATAATCTAACTACACGGGGTTGTTTTATAATCTTACTACACGGGGTTGTTTTATAATCTTACTACACTGGGTTGTTTTATAATCTTACTACACGGGGTTGTTTTATAATCTTACTACACGGGGTTGTTTTATAATCTTACTACACGGGGTTGTTTTATAATCTTACTACACGGGGTTGTTTTATAATCTTACTACACTGGGTTGTTTTATAATCTTACTACACGGGGTTGTTTTATAATCTTACTACACTGGGTTGTTTTATATTCTTACTACACGGGGTTGCTTTATCATCTAACTACACGGGGTTGTTTTATAATCTTACTACACGGGGTTGTTTTATAATCTTACTACACGGGGTTGTTTTATAATCTTACTACACGGGGTTGTTTTATAATCTTACTACACGGGGTTGTTTTATAATCTTACTACACGGGGTTGTTTTATAATCTTACTACACTGGGTTGTTTTATAATCTTACTACACGGGGTTGCTTTATAATCTAACTACACGGGGTTGTTTTATAATCTTACTACACTGGGTTGTTTTATAATCTTACTACACTGGGTTGTTTTATCATCTTACTACACTGGGTTGTTTTATAATCTTACTACACGGGGTTGTTTTATAATCTTACTACACGGGGTTGCTTTATAATCTAAACAACACGGGGTTGTTTTATAATCTTACTACACGGGGTTGTTTTATAATCTTACTACACTGGGTTGTTTTATAATCTTACTACACTGGGTTGTTTTATAATCTTACTACACGGGGTTGTTTTATCATCTTACTACACTGGGTTGTTTTATAATCTTACTACACTGGGTTGTTTTATCATCTTACTACACTGGGTTGTTTTATAATCTTACTACACGGGGATGTTTAATAATCTTACTACACGGGGTTGTTTTATAATCTTACTACACTGGGTTGTTTTATATTCTTACTACACGGGGTTGTTTTATAATCTTACTACACGGGGTTGTTTTATAATCTAACTACACGGGGTTGTTTTATAATCTTACTACACGGGGTTGTTTTATAATTTTACTACACTGGGTTGTTTTATAATCTAACTACACGGGGTTGTTTTATAATCTTACTACACTGGGTTGTTTTATAATCCGTACCAAAATGAGTTGTTTTCTGGTCATTTTGCGCAATTATTTGGCAAGAAAAGAATAAATCTAAGGGGAGATTTATGTTTCAGAAAATATCCTGATTTCTAGTCATAAAGGAGAGTTCTATATTGGAGTTGAGGTCACCGTGGTCTATTCCTGGTGTTTATATAACAGGTAGGGCAAAAACAACGGGTCATTTAATGAAAAAGTACACGTTCAATTAGAGGCGCTGAATTATAATCCGATATTCAGACGGTTTAACAAAACGGAAAATTGGCAATTTGTCTTTGTCAACTACTGCAACTAACAACAACTCTCTCCTTCAACATTTGTCATATCGGTTACCGCTTAATCAATAAAAAACGGGGGGTTATCAGATAAAACCCAAATATGGACAGAGAACTAGATAATGTATTGATATTTCTGACAATTTGTCAAATATCCATAATATGATATTCCGATAAAGTCCGAACGACTGTTATTGATCATTTTGGAATTTACTTCTGACGTCTTTTGTGATCCGATATAACGCTGACTACCCCGCAGGGGGGAGCCACGATCGCGACGCTGATTAGCTGAAGTGAGTGACAAGTATACACCGAACTAGACGTCACCCCCTGTAACCCCTGAACCTCCCCTGGTTCAGAATGATGAGCTCCGCTGACACTACTCTGTAAGTCTAAACCAATCCTTTGCCTGGAGAGGACTATTTTTAGTGGAAGGTTGCCGCTTACTCACGGAACTATTTACCTTCTGTCAAACTCCCACTACACTTTGTATAATTTTAACGTCTTCCTTACATACTACATTGTTTAAGGAGATTTCTGTATTTTGTCATTTGATACTCGGCTAACACTTCAGACATCTATACTCACATAAATATCGGACACTCTCAGAGTAATGTTTAACATTTTCGTTATGTGTACATTTTGTGAATTGAATTAATTTGCGAACCCAATTTTTAGCGTTTTTAAAATTCGAAATAAGAAGTCAGTTCTTCACTTCATTTGACTTCTTATTTAAATATACCCAATCACAAAGGTCTCCAAACATCAATAGTCGGTGGCATAATGTTTTCCTGTCCTTATATTAGTCTATCTGATAAAAAAATTAAAACTAGGTTTAAATTTGTGAACCGTAGTAGTTGAAGTTTTTAAAGTTTTACACATTTAATTCTGAATGTTCTTTAAATACTTTGTTTGCCCATGATTAAAATACCTGATCGGAATCGTGCTGCTTACGAGAATGCTAGTCAGGATCTTTGCAATGTTCGAGGTTTTGCACTGAAAACATATGATAGGAAACGGTATCGTTTGTAAGCTTTGATTATGATAAGGATGACGTGTCAAAAGAACAAATCAATCTGTTAACCCAGAGAAATACAGCGATTATGCATCACCACATATTTGTGTCAAAGATTAGAATTTCTAGATATCATGCTGATATTGCAACTGAATTTTAAGTTCATATTAATCATGTATTGAATAATAAACTATCATCTTTCTGTTGCATAACAAAATAAAAAGTGTAAAAAGGACACAAAGTGATGGGTTTGACACATTTCATTCAGTGGTGGACAGGAGATATATGTGTGATACACATCCTTTTTTCTTCCATGTCTCAGAATTACATGCCATGAATCAGCATTTCTAATCGTAACTGAATATTTTCATCTTTACCTACACGAAATTAGAAATAAATCAGATTTATAGACGTTTTCGGGGTCCTGTTTGATCATCTAGGATTTTTACATCATCATTTAGGATGTTTGGTTTTCATCTGTGTTGATCTCCGTTTGTCTCATTGTCTTTCTGTGTCTGTCTAGCTGTCTGTCTGTCTGTGTAAGTCTGTCTGTCTTTGTTAGTCTAGCTCTCCGACTGTCTCACTGTCTTTCTGTGTCTGTCCAGCTGTCTATCTATCTGTCTGTGTCTGTCCAGCTGTCTATCTATCTGTCTGTGTCTGTCCAGCTGTCTATCTATCTGTCTGTGTCTGTCCACCTGTCTATCTATCTGTCTGTGTCTGTCAAGCTGTCTATCTATCTGTTTGTGTCTGTCCACCTGTCTATCTATCTGTCTGTGTCTGTCCAGCTGTCTATCTATCTGTCTGTGTCTGTCCACCTGTCTATCTATCTGTCTGTGTCTGTCAAGCTGTCTATCTATCTGTTTGTGTCTGTCCACCTGTCTATCTATCTGTCTGTGTTTGTTCACCTGTCTATCCATCTGTCTAATTCTGTCCCGCTGTCTATCTATCTGTCTGTGTCTGTCCACCTGTCTATCTATCTGTCTGTGTCTGTCAAGCTGTCTATCTATCTGTTTGTGTCTGTCCACCTGTCTATCTATCTGTCTGTGTTTGTCCACTTTTCTATCCATCTGTCTAATTCTGTCCAGCTGTCTATCTATCTGTCTGTGTCTGTCCAGCTGTCTATCTATCTGTTTGTGTCTGTCCACCTGTCTATCTATCTGTCTGTGTCTGTCCACCTGTCTATCCATCTGTCTGTGTCTGTCCAGCTGTCTATCCATCTGTCTAATTCTGTCCATCTGTCTGCCTGTCTGTGTTAGTCTAGCTGTCTGCCTTTGTTAGTCTAGCTCGCCGTCTGTCTCACTGTCTTTCTGTGTCTGTCCAGCTGTCTATCTATCTGTCTAATTCTGTCCAGCTGTCTGCCTGTCCGTGTAAGTCTAGCTGTCTGCCTTTGTTAGTCTAGCTCGCCGTCTGTCTCACTGTCTTTCTGTGTCTGTCCAGCTGTCTATCTATCTGTCTAATTCTGTCCAGCTGTCTGCCTGTCCGTGTAAGTCTAGCTGTCTGCCTTTGTTAGTCTAGCTCGCCGTCTGTCTCACTGTCTTTCTGTGTCTGTCCAGCTGTCTATCTATCTGTCTTATTCTGTCCAGCTGTCTGCCTGTCTGTGTAAGTCTAGCTGTCTGCCTTTGTTAGTCTAGTTCTCTGTCTGTCTCACTGTCTTTCTCTGTCTGTCCAGCTGTCTGCATGTCTGTGTCTGTCAAGCTGTCCGCCTGTCTCTGCTGTCCAGCTGTCTGTTGTCTGTGTTAGTCTAGCTGTCTGTGTTTGTTAGTCTAGCTCTCCGTCTGTTTAACTGTTTCTCTGTGTCTGTCCAGCTGTCTATCAATCTGTCTAATTCTGTCCAGCTGTCTGCCTGTCTGTGTAAGTCTAGCTCTCTGTCTTTGTTAGTCTAGTTCTCTGTCTGTCTCACTGTCTTTCTCTGTCTGTCCAGCTGTCTGCCTGTCTGTGTAAATCTAGCTGTCTGTCTGTCTTTCTTAGTCTAGCTCACCGTCTGTCCCACTGCCTTTCTGTGTCCGTCCAGCCGTCTGCCTTTCTGTGTAAGTCTAGCTGTCTGTCAGTGTTAGTCTAGCTCTCCGCCTGTCTCACTCGAAACTTTGCTAAGATTAAGGTTAAAAATTTTCAGAAAGTGGATGAAATTTCAAGGTCAAGGTTATGAGGTCAAAAACATTCCAAAGTGACAAGACCCTTCCGAAGGAGCTATGATTTTTGACTTGATGGACATACAGGACAGGACAGACAAGACAGTTATAATATGGCCATAGATCACTGCACTGCAACCTGAAGACTCCTAAAGTGGAGGAACAAAATTCTCTAAATATGTTTGTATACTTTTATTTCCAATGTTGGCTCTCGGGTATTGACAAGAAATTCTGTCTGTTAATAGTTACTTAATTTAAATTCCCTGTTTATCACATAAATATCTTTTGCAGGTGGTAAGCCCATGTGACCCCTCCATGATCTCCCCTTAGTTACAGTTTTCCTGTGTTATCTACTACCTGCTTACTCTGAATAGTGAAGAATGTTCACAACCATCACCAGATCGAGTATGTGAGTTCGATGTAATTGACGACTAAGTGAACAGTTGCCTTTTTCTCCTTAGTAGGACTTTAACCTTTTAATGGAACATTAAAATCTCATTGTCTTTTGGATTTGTCTGTACAACAGCGTTCGTATAAACAATTATTTTTAGTAAATGATACATTTTGTAGATTTCACGCTTGGAGGACACCCATCTCCGGGCTAATTAAACGATTGTTTCACTAGAATGTTTTCTAGTTAACATTTTTAACAAGCCGTATCGGCAATTTCCGGAAAAAAAAGAATTCCAGAATTTGGTTCAAAACGTATCTTCTTTAAGGCTATAGAATCAACTTGCAAAGAACGTCAATCTGACGTCACAATGGGAAGCAAGCCAGACATGTAATTTTATTTGGACGTAAAATGTTCTAATCTGGAGATGGAGGGACAAGGTTTATTATTAGATTTTTCAACACCCTAGCGCACGAACACACAGAACGTTTTCTTATTGCAAGACTTAGCATACCATAGGAAAACATAACTGGGTCGGCTTTAAATAGAAGGAGGTTATTTTTTCTATCAAAGCTAATTTACAGTTTCCGTTATATAAAAAACAGAGCATGCTTGTGTTCTTTTCTTTTCTTTTTTTACCTCAATTTGTAATTAATTATTCACGAGATGTATGAATCAGTTTTGGTCCTTAAATTGATTAGAAAACTAATGTTCTCCACCAACCATAGCTTATCAATCACTTCGCTACACTGATGGATTTTTTAAGAGTAGAGTACACTTATAAATGTATCTTTAAACCCTACCGGTATGCGAGACACTTGCGGTCAAAATGGCCGTCATTTTTATTTGTTTAATGGAAATTAAAAACCAATTTGGTTATTATGACGTAACAACTCCCTCCCCCACCTCGATACGAGTCGATGGAAAATCAGATGGAATAATTCATTTATTTTATTACAAGATATTCGGACCTTGATATTTGAATGGTATTGAATTTCTGATGAAAACATAAAACCGAAACCGAAGTTCTGCCTGCAGGAATAGCATTGAAAATACTGCCAGTATGAATATGATGAACAGTAAAAGAGGAGCGAAGGAAAACTCAACAATGTTCTAGAATCGATCATTCAATGCTTATTGTGTTGATTTCAATTTTTTAAAAATTTTTAAAAGTAAGCTTGCAATTAACTATGTTATAAAAAGAAATTATTATCAGATCCCATTAAATTACTCTTAATAATTCATGCAATGATTATGATTGTGAATGAAGTAATCCCCCGAACAGTACAATATCTTTTAATATAAAATTTTATTATCTTGGGGATGGTTGATTTCGTGGTATGACGATACCCATGAATTTATGTCCTCCACAATATGATAAAATTTAAAGCTACTAAATCAAGTCTTTTCTTCAACCACAAAATCAACTCTCAAGGAACCAATATATTTTCCTTAAACCACGAAAATAAGTAGTTTTACAGTCAGTTTACGTAGCTATTCTTTACAGCAGAAACATACTCATAGCGATCCTACAAAGCGGTGTAAGACTTGTATTAATTCTACAAAGCAGTGCAATGCTTGAGTATTTTCATGTAGTGATCCTATATAGCAATTCATGTAGCGATCCTACACAACAGTGCAATATTTGTAACGATCCTACACAACAGTGCAAAGCTTTAGCAATCTAAAACAGCAGTGCAATGCTTGTGTACTTTCAGGTAGTCCTACCCATTAGTGCAATACTTATAGCAATCCTACAGGGCAGTACAATGCTTGTAGCAATCCTACAGGGTAGTACAATGCTTGTAGCAATCCTACATTTGTAGCAATGTTACACAGCAGTGCAATACTTGTAGCGTTCATACACAGCAGTACAATACTTATATCGATCCTACACAGCGGTGCAAAACTTGTAGCATCCTACGAAGCAGTACAATACATTTAGCGATCCTACACAACAATTATATTGCATGTATTAGCGATGATTTGATTTACGACTTTTAGAGAGGTACCCGAACCCGACTTAACAATGATGAATAGACTATTTATTTATGTTTCAATTCTCTTGTTAATGAAATATGAAGATAACGAACAGTATTTAATCTCGAAAGTCCAATGAAACGATACAAATTAGGAACAGAGCAAACACGGCCCCTCAAAATTTAGAGGTGAAATAGGTGCCATGGAGGAGTGAGCATCCCCTGCCGACCGGTCACACCAGCCGTGTGCTCCTTGTCATGATCGGAGAAAAACGGAATAATCCATAGACAGTTCAGTGTATAAATAATGACCTAACAATTAGTATGAAAAACGTCATTCAGCATTATTTCAAATCAAAATATTACGATTACATCTTTTTTTTTACTTACTGAATTTAGTGAAAATCTAAACAACGACGTCCTCAACAGATATGGTCCTCACCATTCCTCAACCGTTAATATTTTAAGACTTGAAAATATATGTAAATAAGGTTGTTGGTAGAGAAAGACTCCATGGAGATGGTCCATAGTTCTTTGTCAAACAAAATCTGTTGAAATTCCTATCCATCCCCAAATACTCATACTGCCATATATTGTTGTAATGGTAAAACGTCCATGTAAAGCACTATAGTGTTCCAAGGAATGCATACTTCGCCTGCTATATAGAATTATTAAAGATGTAAATAAATTAGCTACTTTTCTGCCACTAGTATCGTTTCAGTATATTTGGTTTCGTTTCGGTAGGTTTTGTTTCGTTTCGGTAGATTTCGTTTCGTTTCTATTTTGTTTCGCATTTTCTGGTACCCACCACTAGTAACATAGTTCATGCTTTTGCATGCAAAGAAAAAAACATCCATGGATAGAAAGACCTTGACATAATATATGTGTTAGTTATATAAAATATTATTCCCCCAACCCTCAAGGATAAAATGAATAATGAAATCAAAATCATTAGAAATACTTATTTATCATTTTATTCATTCTTTAATCCAACAATCCCCCAGATTCGTGACTAGAGAAATTTCAATCTGTCTTTACTGCAATTGTCAGTCTTCAACTTTATTTGAAGTACAAAGCACAAACTTAATGAACTAATTTGAAAAGTAGGACACAAATCAAGTTCAAAGGTCACGAGGTCGGTAACCATGACATTTTACAAAAGCCAAAGTGCCAAGCCATATGAGCAAAATATAAAATAAAAATAGCAAGTTATAAAAACTTTACTGGGAAATGAAATGGGTCGGTCATGTGATCAGAACTTTCTGAGAAGCCCTTTGGACTTCTCAGAAGATTTCATGTTGGCTTCTCAGAAGACCACATGACCAACCCACTTCATTTCTCAGTGAAGTTTTATTTCTTATTATAAGCACCTGTGTTAATCTTAGGGAATTGCTGTTAAGGGTTTGGTGAATTAAATCTAGAAAGGATTAAGACACTCAGTTCTTTATCAGTAGGAACAAAGGGAAGAAACATGGCGCTAATAGTAATCTGAAACATTATAGTACTGTATAATAAACTAGTTATAATTGTAACGGGGACCGTTACAGATGTTCCCCAAACGCTCCCTAACCTCCTTTTGGTGTCTTATTTCCAATAAGTTTCATTAAATAAGGCAATCAAGTACATTGGCTGTTTTACGCATTACATGAGCTCGCACGTGCATGCATGTGCATGCTGACCATGTCATCTTGTCTATACTATTAATACATCTTAAATAT